TTTCTTTTTGAAAAGATAACTATTCATCTTTTTTATTTTTATTTTATGTGTGTGATGAGAGAAATTCAAATCTACTACTTAAGGATGTGTAATGAGTAAATCATGCAAATGTGTAATAGTTCACAAACTACAAAAAAAAAAAAAAAAAAAAAAAAAAAAAAAAAAAAAAAAAAAAGTAAAATCATATTGAATAATTAAACTAATAACCTTTTGGTACTAAGAGCATCCACATCAGTGGATATTATGGAGATAATGTCAGATGAATTATCTTGGGTGGGGATAATAACAAATGTAGGGTGGGGTTATTTATCAAAATATTTGTCCTGCAAAATTGGGGAGATTGGCAGAAAAAAGAGTTGAAGAAAAAGAAAGAAAAACGCGCACAGCAGCCCGCCCACACGGGCGCGTGCAAAGCACGCGCGTCAGGCGCGCCGTTCGACGCGCCTGACCTTTTAGTTTTTTTGTTTTTTAATTTTTTATTTTTATTTTTTTTATTTTTTTTCCTCCCCTTCCCACATTCTCTCTCCTAATCACTCTTACATTATCCCCCAATTCTCCCCAACCATTGTGGATGCTCTAATATCATACTCTTCACACTCGGTTGTCCCTTTCAATGCCAATATTCATTTTTCTTGGCATTACTAATACAGTTGAAGAAAATATATCGTTTTTTCAAAAGTGATTTTTTTCCAAATAAATGGCATTAAAAGGTTTTATAATATATATATATATATATATATATATATATATATATATATATATATATATATATTAGATTGATTTCACTTGGATCACACATGCTTCACTTTAATATTTATCTCTTTTGAGCTTCACTTTAATCAAATATATCTGCCAAAACACATAAAGTACATTATATTCCAAATGAGTGTTCATAGGTTTGAACCTCGGTGGTGGGATCTGAGCCTAGATTCTTTGGGCTAAAAATGTTTGAGAAAGTATAAAACTAATTATTGTTGTTGTGTAAACCACGGTCAAAAAACACATAAAGTACATTATTCTAACCCATAAAATACATTATCTTACCCCAAAATTTCATTATTTTAACACATAAAATACGTTATTCTAATTCATAAAATATATTATCTTATCCTAAAATGTTCATTATTAGAAGAAAAAAATTAAAAAGAATAAAAATAGTAATTTTGATTTAGTAGAAAAGTCTACAAGCACTATTCCAAATTACGTTATGAGTGAAACGCGCCTTGTAATCTAATCGATAAAGAACTACACTGATGTTTAAGTTAATCATAATTAATCAGCTCAAACTGAGAAGGTTAATAGGTCCAACTCTCATGAAAAATTAAATTTGTAATTTTATGATTCCCAAGTCAACTACCCATGTTAGAATTGCCCCTAGCATTACTCTTCTACTTTACATTTGCGTGACATGTGAATCATTGAGATTCAGCTGAATCCTTGAGGAGATTCAGCTGAATGTACTTTTGAGTGTTGTGGACCAAAATAGTGGTAAAAGTTAGAATTATAAGAAAATTAAACAATTTTAAATTATTTGGTTTAGGGTTTATCTTATGAAGATGAAAAGTTTCTTTTGCTCGTCTTTTTATCTTTCTTTTTTATTTTTATTTTCTTTATTTCTGCTTTCATGTTGTCATGTTTAATTTATCTATTTGAATGAACAAATTGTTTGGTGATGCTGAATTGACTGCCTGCCTTATCTTCTCCTGGAAATTTAGACCACCCATCGTCTACAAAGTGCATAATAAGTCTATAGATCAGATACCTTCAAATATAAGATAAATAATTCCTTTTTAATGAAAATATATTATCCTTTTTCTTATCATTTTTCTTTTGGAACTAACCAAAAGGACGGTGGAAACTCGAAACGAAAACTACCAAAGCTAAAAAAAAAAAAAAACCCCCCTTATATACGAAATCATTTATGTGTTACGTTTAATAGTGATTTTTCTTCCAAAAAAAAAAAATAGTGATTTTAAGTAATTTTTAAATGTTTAAATATATAAATAGATTGTTCTTATTAAGAGACAAACTTAGAACTTTTTATTTATCAAGCTAACAAATTAATCAACTTTGGAGTTGCAAAGTAGCATACATCACTGATCCAAAAAAAAAAAAAAAAAAAAAAAGGTCAGAGTTTTTACTACTTAAAAATAAATAAAATTAGAATATATATGTAATGAGAGTTTTATTTTTTAAGAATGCATTTACCATATATATACATATATATAGAGAGAGAGAGAGATTATAATGAAATTGGGGACAACTCCAGCTAAGTTGATCAAACAATTTACTTGACAATCATAAGATTCATAACTGATAAGGTTTCAAGTTCAATCCTGAGTCCTTGTAAAATTTGCATATTGGCCTGGGTTGATTTACTTATGATTGGTTTTAGAGCCCAAATATCATATAACACCGAATTCAAATATTGTTTTTTAGAGCCCATTTTTGTCAATATTCTATAACACTAGATCCAAGCCTGCAAGCTCAAATCCATTGAGGTCCATTCCATGAATATGCCCAAAATTAAGGGATATATTATATATACAATATCTTTATGGAAAAAAAATTATTCTAAATTCTAATGTATCTTATAAGTTAGAATAATGTACTTTATGTGTTAGATTTATGGGGTAAGATAATGTACTTTATGTGTTTTTAGACTGTGGTCTATACAGTTATGTGAATTACGATCCACGCAATAATGATTGATGTCAAAAGACCAAAGGACTAAAGTTAGCCCAATAAGGCTCAGCCCATTAGAAGTTTAGAACAACAGCAAGGCTGAACCATAGATTGGGAGTTGGAGTAAGGAAGGCCCAAAAGCACCGACCCAGAAACCGTGCGCACCATGCAAGTGCACACAGAATTGGATCCATAATCTCTATACTATAGATCCATAATTTTTATACTATAGATTCATAATTTCTATACTATAAATTCATAATTTTTATACTAAAGATTCATAATTTCTAAACTGTAGATTCATAATTGTTATACTATAGATTCATAATTTCTATACTATAGATTCATAATTTCTAAACTCTATAGTTATCAAATTATGAACATATAGTTCAGTGATTTGTGAATACAGAGTTCAACAATTGGGAATATGAACATTGAAAATTATGAACATAGAATTTTGTAATTATGAACATAAGGTCCATCGAGTTTAGTGGTTTCACCATCTATAGTCCCTAACTTCCATAATTACCATTTGTGGTCCTCCGAGTTGCGAAATCTGACCATTTATCATCCTTCCGTTAGTTTCTTCCATCTAAGCCGTCAAAAGCGAGGGTAAATATGTCATTTGCCATAAAACAAAACATTTAGAAATTAAAAAAAAAATATATCAAAGCAATGATCGACATCGGGTAGATTTGTAGTCTTCGACGTCGGGTTTTGCAGCCTTCGATGAGGTGCTCGGCGGCGATGAGCTGCTCCGATTCCGGCGACCAGAAGTTCTTCACCTCTGTTCTCACCAACTCCAGAACTCCTGGGCGAGACTCCAAGAGTGTACCGCCCTCAACAGAGAAGAAGTAGAAGCGTCCTGCGCCGCGAAGAGGAAATCGAATAAATGCCCAAATTATCCGGCCAAGCGTAGAAACTAGAAATCATCAAATCAACCCATAAAACCAAAAATCAAGTCCAAGGACTCAACATAATCAATTTTTTTTTTTTTGTCTTCTTCGCCACTCAAGGCTCAAGCAATCAGAAATCAAAAATCAAAAAATCAAAATTTATACTTTCCAGATCCGAAGATAGTAAAATAAGATTGTAATAGGAGGAGGAGTATCGTTCGTCGATGAGCGAGTGAGGCGGCAGAGCAGGCAGCTGGCGACGAACTCGGAGGCGTTGGACAGTGAAGTTCAATGGCAACGTCACAAGGAGCTTGGAGGTGGTTCTATTGCAATGAGACCACTGCTAGAAGATGAGATTATGTCAGGAGGATACCACTCCGGCCAGCTTCCGGAGCAAGGTAGCACAGAATCTTGCTGCCACAGTGCCACCGCTCACACTCTCCAGGTTGGAAATTTCTTTAGGAACCCTTCTCACCATTTTTACTCGTGGGGGGAAATCACACCTCTTCCAGGTTGCTAATTTCATTAGTTTCTGTTTCACTTTGCTGAATTTCTTGTTAGTTTTCACCTTTTCTTAGTTTCTGTTTCACTTGGCTTAATTTCTTGTTAGTTTTAACCATATCTGTGTGAGATATCACAATTTTCTTGATATGAGAAGCTCCCAATCCCATATACATTCCTTTGTTTGGGATGTTGATCTGTTGCTTCGTGCATTGAGAACAAAAATTTGACAAAGAATGTGTTTATGGAGGTGATTGGGAATGTGTATATGGCAAATGACATATTTACCCTCGCTTTTGACGGTTTAGGCGGAAGAAACTAACGGAAGGATAGTAGCTGATAAGATTTCGCAACTCAGAGGACCACGGATGGTAATTACGGAAGTTAGGGACTATAGGTGGTGAAACCACCAAACTCGATAGACCTTGGCTAGTATTTACTCTTATGAATTTATAGTATAGAAATTATGGATCCAATTTCATGTGCACCATGCCTGGTGCACACGGTTGCACAACATAATTTGCCCACCGACCCTGCGATCCATACCTGAACGAAAGTTAACCAATAGAGATGTAATTTTAGTATTGGAATTGTAAATTTCTAAAATATAAATTGTGCTTTTTCAAAATACATAACATCTGTAAAAGAGAATTTATGAATACAATATAGGTCTGTTAATATTATGTGACTGCAGCATTTGAAAAGAACTTATTATGAATACAAAACAAGATAATCAATTATATATATGTTAACATTGTAGGCTCATAGTATACAAATTATAAACTTTTAAAAAGTAAATTATGAACATTTGAACACGAATACACCTTCAATAATTTGCCACTCAAGTGACTCAAATGCGTTGTCCCGTTCCATGTCATCCCGGATTCATCGGTAATTTAACGTTATATACTTATATCAATCGGGCCATATTCCCACCATATATTCAGCAAAAGATTTTTTTTTTTTTCAGTACAGTGCACAACTTTATCTTGTCTCCATTCTCAGCCGCACAGCTTTTTCGACATGGAACTCTTCTTCCACTTCCTCCTTTCACTCATCTCTTTCCTATTCTTTGTCTTCTTCCTCGCTGCAAAACACCAGAAACCCACCAAACCCGGCTTCAAATTCTACCCCCTAATCGGAGCATTACCGGGATTCATCAAGAACCGCCACCGCTTTCTGGACTGGTCCACCGACATCCTCGCCGCCTGCCCCACCAACACCGCCGTATTCCGCCGCCCCGGAAAGGTGCACGGCGTCATGACCGCCAACCCGCTCAACGTCGAGCACATGCTCAAGGCCAACTTCCACAACTACCCCAAAGGCGACCGCTTCATATCTCTCCTCCAGGATTTCCTCGGCGCCGGGATTTTCAATTCCGACGGCGACCAGTGGAGGACCCAGCGCAAAACTGCTAGCTACGAGTTCAGCACCAGATCGCTCCGGAATTTCGCCATGGAAACGGCCAACACGGAGCTCCACACCCGCCTGATTCCCATCCTCAGAGACGCGGCGAACAAACGCTCTGTTCTTGATGTCCAGGACACCCTCGAAAGATTCGCGTTTGATAATATTTGTAAAGTCGCGTTCAACGTGGATCCCGGATGTTTGGGCGGCGACGGGACTAAATCCGCCGAATTCATGCAGGCTTTCGAGGACGCGGCGACTCTCAGCTCCGGCAGATTCATGTACGCTTTGCCGTTTTTTTACAGAGTCAAGAAATTCCTCAACGTGGGATCGGAGCGAAAATTGCAAAAATCAATTCAGATCGTCCACAAGTTCGCCGACGAGATCATATTGTCAAGAATCAAACATCGGACGGAGAAAACCGGTGAGGATTTATTATCAAGATTCATGGGGACGACGACGGAGGAATATTCCCCGACGTATCTCCGAGATATTGTGATCAGTTTCATTTTAGCCGGCCGCGATACGACGTCGTCGGCACTAACATGGTTCTTCTGGCTACTATCCTCAAGGCCGGACGTGAAACACAACATCCTTAAAGACCTCGAAAAAGTCCGGCGAGAGAGCGGTCGTCACAAAATCGGAGAATCATCATCACCGTACACCTTAGACGAACTGCGAGAGATGCAGTATCTACACGCGGCGATCTCGGAGGCAATGAGGCTGTACCCGCCGGTGCCGGTGGACACGAAAGCCTGCCTGAAAGATGACGTCATGCCGGACGGCACGTTCGTCGGAAAAGGGTGGTTCGCGACGTATCACACGTACGCCATGGGGAGAATGGAGAAGATTTGGGGGAAAGATTGCTGCGAGTACAAGCCGGAGAGGTGGTTGGATGAGAATGGGGAGTACAGACAGGAAAGTCCGTTCCGGTTTCCGGTGTTCCACGGCGGACCCAGAATGTGTCTGGGGAAGGAAATGGCGTACATTCAGATGAAAGCCATTGGGGCTTCGATTCTGGAGAGGTTTGAGATTGAGGTGTTGTTGGAGGAGAAGGGAAAGGTTCCTGATTTTGTGTTGTCGTTGACTCTTAGGATGAAGGGTGGGTTGATTGTGAAGGTTAAGGAAAGAAAAGATGATTAGTTTAATGTTGTGGTTATTTGTTAGCTTAATGATGCCATAATTTGATTATTAGTATAGTAGATAATGTTAATAGTTATGGTCTTCATTTGATGTGATATAGGTTGAATCCGTGCTTATATATATGAAAAATAATAATTGTCACTCTATTAAAATGAGTAGTGAACTTTCCATTTGGAAGAGCCACAATCTATGTTAAAATTCAAAAAATTGCTCAAAACATCTTTTTTCAATACTTTTTAACAATGTCATTTTGCATGTAATCAGCTATCAACTGATTTACTAAATATCTTTCTACAATCAACTAATGCATGTTATCAGCTAGTCAAGTGCAACGCTATTTACCAAATACCTCCAATATTCATCTACTCGCATTATTAATCAAATATATAGAATAATGCATATCTCAGGTAAGTATGAGTACTTGATTCAGTGACTTAGATCGAAAGATTTTTATTTTTTTTTAAAGTTAATGTGAATGGTAACCCTAAGGAGCAACCTGGGGAAGAAGTAGCAGGTGAAGTCTTATAAGATGCATGATGAACTTTAAAGTACAAGATTGGGGGTTCGTAGTGCATGTGTTTGGTTGTTGAGGTATGGGCCATGCATGACAAGTTAATGACACTAGTTGGGAAAACAATAATTATACCATGGAGTGGAGAAAGGAAAATACTATATGTATTCCCATTTTATACTGCTAATTTTTACTTTTATATTTAAATAATTGATGTAGACACTTTTATAAGACTCACACGAAAAAATAATCAAGCCCGTCACATTAAGAAGTAAATTCTCGAGAGTCAAATTTGAAAGTAAATGTAGTAGAACTTTTGAACAAAAGGTGAATAATAGTTTAGGTTAAAGCGGTTTGTTATTGGTGATTATGATGATTAATAAATTCGTGGAGGAGCTATATAGCCCGTGACGGCGCGGGTCTTTGATGCACATATAAAAGTTACGTAAATTATATATTTATTAATCGACAAGCACCTTGTGCTCAGATGACATGTAGTGACCTTTCTTATGTGGGAGGTCATAAAATCGAGTCTAGCCTCAGTGAACAGATATTACAATAATGCAAATCTATGAACACTAAGTCAAAAATAATATGAATAATTAACAAAAACAACAATGGAAATCTATGAAATCTATGAACACTAAGTCAAAAATAATATAAATAATTAATCATCAGTAGCACATCCATCATAATACTAACAACTATACAGATTTAATAACACTAAGTCAAAAATAATATAAATAATTAATCATCAATAGCACATCCATCATAATACTAACAACTATACATATTTAATAACATGAATTCCAACATTTGGGATTCCAATACTTTATATGAATTGGATAACATCTCGTCTTGCATCTCAACATTTGGGATTCCAATACTTTGATGTCCTTTTTTTTTTTTTTTAAGTTACTGACTCTATTTCAGTTTATCTGTTTTTTTTGATATCCCTTTAATTCAACACTATCGGACACTTCTATATTAAAATGTTGTTAAGTTAGGTTTTTCAAGATTAATTAAAAAAAAAACAAGAATTTTTAAAAAATTTATAAAGTTAGTTGAACAAACTTACTTCGAGTAATGGTTAAGTGAAATTATTTTGGTTAATTAGATAATATTATGACCTACCACCTCAACATATTGAGTATAAAATATATAAAATAGTAAACACTGCACCTTATATATGATTTTATAAACTTCCTATAAGAGTCTCACTCTTGTCATTAAACTATAATAAAATCAATATTGATAAGCTTACAATTTTTCAAAATCGTAACCAAAATTAAGACGGTCCAATAATTAGGTTTTAGAAATACGAATTTACCCCTAATCGCAATCACACACCTATCAAGCATCATCATCACCATCAAATCATCATTTATTACTAATTGTGAGCGTAATTGTTTATAATTAACCAAACAAAAAATTACAATTGTCTTAATATTATATTGTTTGATTTGTTTTCATCTCTCTCACACGTAGAATAATCTAGACTTTGTTTAGGCTGAGCCACACATGACCCAATTAATCAACCAACCCAAAATAAATTCATACAAGTAATACTTTGCTAGCAAATAAAAAATAAAAATAAAAAATCAATACTTTGGGCAAGGTGGATCTTTTTTTTTTTTTTTGGGTAATGAGAAAATTTCATAGTTATTATTCAAAAAATGTGCATTAAATAAATTATACTCCATCATAATAAGTTGCAAATATGAAAATCACGTTTTACCTATTCTTGAATGATAGGTTATCACTAAACCTCGAACTATTGATCTTATCAGATGAGTTGAACCGCTAAACTAAAATTGAAAAGGAGTTAATTCCATCGGAGGTCCTTTGTCTTTGGTGGCAATTCCAAATTTAGTCTCAGACTATCGTTTTTGCCATTTTACATCCCACATTATCGTTTTTTGGACACTTTTAGTCCTTCTCATTACTTTTTCTATTTTTAATAAGGCCATTTTTGTCTCTTCATATTTTTCTGGTTTCAACTAGTTTAATTGATTTAGGACTTTATTAAAAAATGGTTGAAAAATATGGTTACTAAAAATTGGATGTTACCTAAAGTTCTAAACCAATTAAGCCAGTTGGAACCGAAAAAATAACAAAAGAAAAATATGAAGAGACAAAAATGCATTTACTAAAAATAGAAAAAGTTATAAAAATGACTAAAAGTGTCCAAAAAATAATTATCTGGGATGTTAAATGACAAAAACGATAATCTAGAACTAAATTTGACATTATCACAAAAAATAAGGAACCTCTACTGAAATTAACTCATTGAAAAATGAAAAGTGAGAATTGATACACACATTTAGAGTCATTAACATGGCCCAACCCCGAGTTGGGCCTATTTATTAGCCCGATTTCTAAGTGGGCCAAGTTGCATATCTCTCCAACCTAGCCCAAACAAGATCGACCTATTTAGCCTGGAAGGGATACTAGGGTAAATATAAGTTGGCCCGTATAAGTAACAATTTATTTATTTCAAATTGATACGGAGTATTAAATTTTCTATAATAAGTATTATGATTTATATCATAATCATAAGTAACAAACAATTATCATCCGTGAGACTACCTTACTCAACTGTAACTATAAATAGAGTAATATTACATATATTCTCATTTTCTACTTAGTGCTTGTACATCACACTTTGATTCATTAAAAAAATATGAGTCACAATTTTTAGGAATAAGGGTTAACTAGGCCACCGAATTACACGATAACGCAATTATGCCACTGAACTTAAAAAATAACAATTGGATCCCTAAACTAACCAATTTCGAACAATTCTTTCCATTTGAAAATTTCCAACATGTCACCATCCCAAATTAATTATTTTTTTAAAAAAAATATAAAAATTAATTATTTAAAAAAAAAAAAAAAAAGCAGGACTCCGATCGGAGGCGAAGAAACCTTGTTCGTCTCGGGCCGATTTCTTCGTCTCTGGCCAGAGTCCTATTTTCTTAAAAAATTTAAATAATTAATTTTTAAATTTTATTTTTTTATAAATAATTAATTTGGAATGATGAATGTTGGAAACCTGCAAATTGAAAGAATCGTTTGAAATTAGTTAATTTAGGAACTCAATTATTAATTTTTTAAGTTCAGTGCCCTAATCGCATTACCATATGCAGTTGAATAACTTCCTTGTTACGGAGTACTTTCTTTTGTTTTCCTTTCAATAAAATCAATACATGTATTGCTTGTAGTCCATTTATCATTTTTCCCTCTAAAAAAATATACCTTAAAAGATTCCGACAAACCTCATCCAAAACGGATAATAGCGGGAGTACAACCACCTCATTTCATCCTCCCAAATCTCACGCACAGCGAAAATGGCGATCTCAGTAGCCAGGCTACTGCCCTCCATGCTCTCCTCCGCAACCTCTTCAACTTCGAATCCGAAGCCGCCGTCGCCTTCCTCCCCCTTCTCCGTCAAAACCCATCGGAGCTCGAAGCAGACAACGACCAACATTTCAAGAAGAGATTTGTTGAATGTAGGGCTGGGTTTGATGCCGCTAGTCGCCATTCCTCCTCCGCCGTCGACGGCCAGGGAAGTTGAAGTCGGGTCTTACCTCCCGCCGTCGCCCACCGACCCTTCTTTCGTCATCTTCAAAGCCGACCCCAGGGACACTCCTGCTCTTCGTGCAGGTATCGTTTGCACCTGTTGTTAAATTCGCATTCTTAAGTTGCTTTACCGTTTTACCTTTCTATTACTTTTTCATGTGTGGATTGAGAGAAATTCGTAGCTTCTGATTAAAGTTCTTGGTTTTATGCATTCCCCATTATCAATGTTTGAAGCTTCTTGCAATCTTGCCTTGTACTTTCTGCTAGGTTTATGTTTGGATCGTTTTTACTGAAAGAACATCTCCAGCATTAGGGGTTTTAGTTATTAGTAGGCAATAAGTTGGATGGAAGGGGCAACCAAGCGAGTTGGCTTGGTAATCACATAGTACCAAGATTGAATTCCTATAGGAGCTGCCTATTAGCTTTTCTATTTTGAGCTCATCAGCTATGGATTACTGGTTTACTTCCTTGTGGCTCTTTGCTGGTTAGGTCACAAGACAGGACGGTCAGGGACGACCGGACGACCTATGCCATTTACCTCTTTGTGGTGAGTTGTCTAAAGTAACAAGGAAGACAGACCAGTCAGCTATGGGCAACCTTTACCTCATTGTGGTCATTTGTTGACTGGGGTCACAAGGCAGGTTTCACCTAGATCGCACCTTCAGGTAGCGACTTTGTGGTGAGTTGTCTAAGGTAACAAGGTAGACAGACCAGTTAGCTATGGGCAACCTTTAACTCATTGTGGTCATTTGTTGACTGGGGTCACAAGGCAGGTTTCACCTAGATCGCACCTTCAGGTAGCGACTTTGTGGTGAGTTGTCTAAGGTAACAAGGTAGATAGATCAGTCAGCTATGGGCAACATAAGCTGGTTTATCTCATTCTGGTCATTTGTTGGCAAGGGTCACAAGGCAAGCTTAACCTAGATCGGAACTTCAGGGTGTTGAGTTTTCCCATAAATCAAAGTAATTTTGATTGAATTAACATGGGGTGAGCTATGGGTTAGGAAGGATCAAGCTACCAAAAATCTTCACCAAAATCATTCGCAATCTAATGTAGCAATATATGATTCTAATATGCGTTTTTTACTTGAGCCACGCTAGGTGGTGAAAGATTTTTGGTCCAAACCAGTCGGGAATTGAACTCTACATTGGATGGCAAGTTATCAAGTTTTAATCTATGGTTGCGAAGGGATAGATAGAGGAAGGTGCTTAACTAAATGTTGGAAGAATAATGGAAATTATCTCATATTTAGTGTTCAGTATGAACACTCTTTTCTCTGTCCAAATGACTTGCATTCATCTTTGTGTAGAGATGTTAGTCGTTTTCTCTCTTGTCCATAGGCTTATGAAGCTCCAATTTTAGTTGGTTTCAGGAAATGTGCAGCCTTACACGTTTATGCTTCCTCCTACATGGAAGCAGACCCGTGTAGCCAACATATTGTCTGGAAATTACTGCCAACCCAAGTGTGCCGAGCCCTGGATTGAGGTGAAATTTGAGGATGAAAAGCAGGGAAAGGTGCAGGTGGTGGCCTCTCCTTTGATACGCCTTACAAATAAACCCAATGCCACAATCGAGGACATAGGGACCCCTGAGAAGGTCATCGCTTCTCTCGGCCCTTTTGTCACTGGGAACACATTAGACCCTGATGAACTCCTCGAAACTTCCATTGAGAAGCGTGGTGATCTGACGGTATGGGACATCTAACTCTTCTCAATTCTAGTTCTTCTATATGATACTGTTTTCTGTTTTCTTCTCGTCTTGATTCTGTTTTGAGGAATGCTGTGTTTCTGTTCCACTTGCAGTACTACAAATATGTTCTCGACACTCCATATGCTCTGACCGGATCACACAATCTTGCCAAGGCAACAGCGAAGGGGAACACGGTTGTCCTGTTTGTGGCTAGTGCCAATGAGAAACAGTGGCAGTCATCACAGAAAACTTTAGAAGCCATCCTTGATTCCTTTGAAGTGTAGTTTCTTACCTACAAAAGACGAAATTCCCTCGCTCTAGGGCCCCACACCCCGGCCTAACAGGGCACGTAATAACATGTTTATAGAGAACTCACTGCTTAATCCCCTGTTGTTGTGTCTATCTTAGTTTCACTGTTTTTACTTTTTGTTTTGTACTTGGTAATAATAGCATGTATAGACATTATACTGAAACTGAATTCCTTAGCCATCATCAATGAGGATTTTGTGATCATTAAGCAAAATGGATGGTTTCTATTCTGTGGTGCAGTTATAATAAGTGCTTATAATTCCAACAGGCAGAGTTGCATTCAGCAATGAGAACAATAATACAGTCCATATGAGGCAACTCCAGCCAAGTTAGCCAGACAGTTTGACAATTAAAAGATTCCTATAAATTCGAGTCTCAAGTTTGACTCACTATAAGAGTTACCCAAAGCACACTTTCGAACCGCAGTTACGAACTTTTTCATAAATAAAAACAATACAGTCAATATAATTTAAAACATAAAAGAATAAAAGTTATGCAGTCATCAGCCCTAGAAGTATAGAGTTACATTTACATCAAATTGAGGTTAACTATTAGTATTTTGCTATCCACAAAATTGTTGCAGAAGATGAGTAGACTGAGGGGGTCACATGGCAGATCTTCCTTGCTTGGATAGACCCTAAAGGAAGACAGATCCCTTGAATGGAAGCATGCATGAATAAGTGACATACTTCACACTGTCTATCAATACAACTACAAATATCCGAGAGAGAGACTTGGTACCCATCATGCTTTCACCATCAGCATCACCCATCTCTCTTGGATCAACGAGCACTGAAACAACCATTGGAGACACTGTATTATTCTTTGTGTGTCCATTTCTTCCAACATTTTCTTCAGACATGTTTTGAGAGGAAGCAGAAATGGGAATCGGACTATGAAGGATCCTTCTATTTTTCCCCTTGTAGGAGTTTGTAGTATTCTGAGATGACTCGATAGACACATTCCTTGTGGAGGTAGCTGGAATTATGGCTGATGATATATCAAATTGAAACACCTCAGTGCACATTCCGGAGCTTAACATTGGCCCTTCACATGCAAGATTGAATAATTTGTTATACATAGGAAAAGGAAAAGAATGTATAACATAGGAAACCCTTAATCTTAAAAATTAAAAAGTTCGGCTTGCTAAACATTAGCAGTGAAAAGGTATAACATATTTAGCATCAGTTTAGATGTCAACAAAAATGGATGAGAAAACACAGCCTCCACTCACAATGTTTCAATTTTTCTCTACTTCAAGGGCTGTTTGGTAATGAGCTGAGATCAAGTCAATTTACATGACCTTGAACTTAATAAACTTCTAGTGAAAATTTCAATCAACGAAATAAAAGTGAAGAGATATTTTGCAATAAAAATTAGTTACTTACCAGCAAGGCCTTCTTGGAACCATTGCTGCAGCTTACCATCTGCTCCTGTCAACCTCTTATTGTCCCTATCAATAGTACCAGGACCCAGGGCTATTGGATGTTCAGCTGGACCCTGATACATGTGAGGATGTCTCTTGGCAGGGGTCAAATCTCCAGGAATTGCCAAACTAGTCTCTTCACTGCTCTTAGTTTCAGCACCTCCACGAGATGCCATGGCTTTCTCACTTGCCAGAACAGAATGAATGATCAAGTTACCATCAATTTTCACCAGCTTATCATTCCTTGGGACATACAGAGAGGCTGCAAGGGGCTCACTACCATTGCCTGAACAAACAATCTCACCATGCTCAATACTTGGATCTTCTCCTCCATTATGATCTTTTTTACCATAATGCAAACCATCACTAAAATGTTTTCCATGACCAAAATCCAGAGAGTTACTAGTTCCGTTTCCAGCTAACACCATACCATGGTTCTTCTCATAAAATCCATTCCCGGCATAATTTCCACCCGTATATGCCTCCCTCGTCCCTCCAAATCTTACATTCACCATGGGAAGCAATCCACCAAACATAAATATAAAAAACAACAAGCCAAGAAAAGTGACACTTGCAAGCTTCTTATTCTTTGCTTCTTTCTTCTTACCCTCCACTTTCTTACTAGTCCTAGACACAGACACTGCTTGTTTAGGTTTCAACTTTGGAATTGGAATTAATGGCACCTGTGACCCCTGTGGCTTTACCATGTAAGGTGGGGTGTATGGCATCCACGGATACATAACTGGGGGATACATTCCAGGGGGTGGTGCCATACCAACGCCACTCCCAGCCATCTGCTGCCTCAAGCTAGCATTTTCAGCCATTACATATGATATCTTAGCATTCAACTCTTGGATAGTCGAATGCATTGTCCTAACCTTACCCTCTAACTCCTCAACATAATGTTTCTTCCTTTGCCTCGAAAGCTGAGCACTCTCCCTATTTCTCAATAATCTAGCATTCTTCTTCTCTTCCTCTTCACTAATGACATTACTAGTATTGGTATTAGTATTCTCCATATTACTAATGTCAATAGATTTTCTACATTTACTCATCCTCAACTTTACATTATTAGATTCTCCATCTTCCTTTTTCCTCTTCAAAACAGAGTTACTGTAATTGTAAATGTTGTTATTCGTTCCCTCCAATTTGAAATTGTGATCAACCACACCAATTTTAATTGAATTTCCTTCAAAGCCTGGAGAAGAATTTACCGATTGATTCGAGCCTTTGGACAGAGAATTCGGAGCTGCAGAGACATTGGAGCCGCAATTACCTGAGCTTTGAGACTCTGGAGAAGGGCAACTGAGAACCCTAGCATGACTGCTGCCACAATTTCCATTTCCAGACTCCTGAGAATCCTGATTACAACCATTTGACTCCGGCGATTCAAATAATTCCAAATTTAAAACCCTAGAACCACCCAAGCTCAGCTCCGGCGGTGAATGATTCCGAAGCTCGGGTTGCAAGTAGCAAGCAGGGTCCACCTGGGCCGCGTCATGCTGATCAACGGAACCGGGTAGGAAATTGGGGTCGAGGAAACTATCAACGTCAGAGGGGAGATCGAAATCGTAATCGTCGAACGAGAAGTCGACATCATCGATCAAGGTTTCTTCGATTTGGAACAAGTAATCCGGGTCCATAGGCGGAAATAGGAGGGGGTCCCCCAAGTCATCCATGGAGGTAGTAACAATCACGGCGGCATTTGACGGCGGCGCCGATGGATCAGCCACCACTGAGTTCGCCATGCTCGATAGATTCCCGGCGACGGAACAGCGAGAGAAATTCCTAATCCAGCTTCAAACAGAGATGTCGGGCATTTCACTTCTAAGCAGAATCGCAGGAAAATGATGAAAACGTTTACCCGTTCGGTCAGAGAAGGGATCTAGTACGCGCTACAGAGGAAACGTGGCTTTATTTATTGGTGCCACGTTTCAATTTATGATTGGATATACTTCGTCACATAAAACCCTCCACCGCCTAAACTCTAAAACAAACCAATCATTATTGTATGGACCATGGTCCATGGTCCATACAAGTTGTGTAGACCATATTTTGTCTACTATAAAATAATGTATATTCAATACAAAAATAATGTATATTGTATACAGGGGATATACATTATTTTTGTTCTGAGTGTACATTATATTGTATAATGTACATTCAGTACAAAAATAATGTACATTTAGTATATTAGAAATGTACTTTTTGTTATGGTCCACGTAACATTATGTGGACCATGGTCCATACAATAATTTGCCAAAACCAACTACTTGGGCTAATTGGGCCCAGGACAAGTTATCCAGTCCGACATCAACTTGTGACGGCTATTTCTTTTTTTTTTTTCTTTTCTTTTTAAAGGACACTCCTAATATCCAAATATTGAAATTTTGAACTATTCGAGTTCGACTCAAATACACTCACTATAATTTTTTTAAAAATATTTTATATGATAATAATAAGTATTTTATATCCAAATATATAACAAACTCAATCCATTTCAATTATAGTCATTTTATAGCATATAAACATATAAATAAATATATACATGTGGAAACTGAAAGTCCCCCAAGTGGAAGACCTTCCTTTGGAGAGCTATAAGTGGTATTCTCCCACCTACCACAAATCTCATTTTAAGGAAGATAGAAGTGAGCCCTTCATGCTCAATGTGTGTTGCTTTTCATGAAGATATTATGCACTCTCTTGTTGATTGTCATTATGCTAGACTTGTTTTGGATGATTCCCACCTTCTGATTTCTTGTGTGGTTGGAGGTTACAGATTGGTTTCGGAATGCTATGTGTGTGTTAACACCGGGCATTCTAGTTAAAGTGGTTGCAGTGCTCTATTATATCTAGAATGCGAGAAATGGTGTGGCCTAGGATGTGTGCATAAAGCCTCCGTGGTGTGTTACAGCGCAAGCAACGGCAGCCCTCGCTGCTTGGGAAGCGTCTAACTTGGCATCGCCATTCAGCAGCCTATCTTGTCGCAGCAGCCACTTGGAGTTCGACGATGCTACTTCGACGCCGCCTTTGCACCAGACTCGGGAGTGGTTTCTTTCGGCTTACTCCTCCTCTCGGCCGATGGGCAGTTTGCTATAGCCTCCAACGGAATTTTGCCGTCATGCCCTAATGCTCTCACGGTCGAAGCACTAGCCTCCAAGGAAGCGTTGCCTTAGTTGAGGAATCTCTCAGTTCACACAGTTGCTTTATTTACAGATTGGCTGGTCCTAAAACGTCACTTATTCGATTCGTTCACCACGCCGAGATCCTATGTAGGGGTGGTCGTGGATGAATGCAAAGCTATGCTATCTTCCTATGTTTCTACTCTTTATTTGCAATTCCTAGACGTTTAAATTATGTTGCTCACATTTTAACATCTAAAGCATCTACTCAGGCTAGCACTGTGTACTGGGATTCTGATCCCCTGACTTTGTTGATTCTCTTTTTGCATAAATATACTCGTATCTTTGCTTTCAATATATATATATATATATATATATATATATATATATATATATATATATATATATATATATATATGTATTAGTTCAATTTGTAACAGTATATTTAAATCAAGTATAAAATATACTCGTATAATAAAATTTTAAAAATTTGAGTAAGCACACAAGCTGCTTAAATCAAGTATTACAAATGCTTAAATTTGACTTGACACGTTACTTAAACTTGAGGACGACTAATAGTAACCAAATCAAACTTGAATAACTTGCGAGTAGTTGATCTCATTTATACTTCTAATCCAAATTCAATTGGTCGCGCTAAGGAGCTTAACTTTTACCTAAAGTAAAACTTAACGCAAACTTCTTTATCATAACATACATATATAATGTATAATATAACACATATTCTCACGTTAAAGTTTGATTAAACTCAAGCTTCACCGTTTTCAAATCAAGTTAAATTGCAAGCTTTAACTATTCATAATTGGCTCGTGTCAATTACACCCCTAATTTACCCATCATAAGATTGGAATAATGAAATTTGCAAATATAAAATAAAAGGATCATAATGAATTTGAATTAGTCTTACCAAAATAATAAAATATATATGTAATATATGTAGTAATAATAATAAATAAAAATGGAGTGGATTTGTATTTGGTAGGTTGTGTTAGACAACCCGACCCGTTAGGACAACAATGGAAGGCAAGTGAAGACAATCTCGCAGTCGGATCGAGGGATAAGAAGCTGAAGGGTTTTCCATTCACATTCTCTCTTCCCTTCTCATGTGCTCTCTAGAGAGAGAGAGGGAGAGCGCTAAGCTATAAAGTTTCTTCTTCTTCTCCATCCTTCCCCCGTTGTCTGGGCGGAGGCATAGAGGGAAGAAGGCTCTTTACATATATATATATATATATTTATTTATATATCGATAAACATTAGTGTATATACGCATACATATATACGTATAGAGGGACTCTCTCTCGGACATGGACGCTACGTGGATGAATTCTCGGTCTCCTGCTGTTGTATCGGAAAAAGATGTCGTTCTGAAACCGACGGAGAATGATGCGGCCGCGGATGTTGCTGCTCCTGCTTACATGTCAATGGTGGATCCTTTCCTCATCGAGGCTCTCCAAAATCCTCGCCATCGTGTTACCGGTCAGTGCTCCTCAAACGTCGAAATCATCAATTTTTACCTTCGAATTTTGCTTCCAATTTGAGTTTATGCGTTTTTTTAATTTGGATCTAGAGTGGCGTTTAGTGTTTATGTGTCTGCTTGATTTAACACAGCATCAATTTTACTTTGAGTTCTTCATCAGGTAATTCAAATACCTGGATTATCTTAGGGATGAACTCTGTTTACCTGGTAGAGCCATTCATGCCCAGAGACTACTAATGTTATTCTTGCACTTCTATACTGATCTAAGTGAATAATTGATGGCTTCTGTTTGATTTTGGTCTAGATCCTTGATTTTAAGATTAATCCGGAACCCTTCGGGCATGAAGAAGGTTTGGTGTAATTTAGAATTGGATACTTAAAAGGGACTTGTTTTAGGAGAAAGGTTTTGTCAGTGGTGACAGTAGTAGAATTGTGGAAAACAAAATGATGGAGATATATTGTGTCAACACATCTCAGAGAGTTCCTGGAAATAATGTTGGGATACAGTTCTGAGTTTTGAAATATGTAGGAGGAAGGGAAAGATACAAGTGAATTGGGGAAATGTTTTAGGATTGGGAGGCTGAACTACTCATGGCATTTTAGCAGACCAAGAATGTGGAAGCTTTATACTCTACCTTCCACATAAGTGCTGTCTTGTAAGAGCATAATTGAACAGGTCATCCAAAGTGAGATAGGCCCCCCTTTGTGGATATGCGAGTGTATAATTTTATTGCCTGTAATAATATATTCAAGTCACATTGACTGCAGTTATTGAATGCATTACTTTGAAATTTGGACTAGCCAATAGGATATGGCGGGGATTCTGCATTTGGTAACAAAATTCTCAAAGCTATTTCTTTTCATAACTTTTCCAGCTCAAATCAGACCATAGGTCTTGATCCTATAGTGAAATTTGAAGCTTCATTTAATTGATACTTTGATTAATTATGTCAAATTTAACTAATCGCCATTCTTTGTGTAGTTATTAACCAGCTTCACTTTTGTTTTCATTTGAATTGCCTAATTACGCTCTATTGCCTCCTGGTGTTCTTTTTGGTTTGATGTGCCTAGACGTTGTATCTTGCTTTTGGTATCAAATTGAATGAATTAGTATAGTTAGCTGGGTTTGTAACATGTTGAAGTGACTTCTTTCTGGAAACCTGGGGTTAAAAAGAAAAATTAAATGTTGATCTATTCTGCCACTGTAAACTAATGATAACACTTTAACTTGAAAGTCCTGGTGAAGGAGGAAGGTAGTAATATGTAAATTTCTCAAATTTGCTACGTTATATTTGCCTTGTCATTTGTCTTTGGAGTAGTAATAGTGTCTTCATTGCTTGTCTTTCATCATGTTTGTAATTGTTAATAGTTTTTATAGCTTAATGGCGGTTGTATTTGGCTGTTTGACATGATTATTATTCATTTTTATTTTGCAAGTCATTCCTTTATTGCTATTGTTCTACTGGTGACACTGACTGTATTCAACTTTCTTTTTTCATCCTGACCCCAGTTCTACGAATGGAACTTGATATTCAGAAGTTCTTTCTGAATCCCAATATGCAGCAGTTTGAGTTCCCACACTTCCCTACATCCTACCTTCGACTGGCAGCACACCGAGTTGCTCAACACTATGGGTTGGTGACTATGATCCAGGATAATTCTGTTGATGGTCAGGGAGCTCGTATTTTGGTGAGGAAAAAGGCTGAAAGCAAATACCCTGGAATTTGTTTATCAGATGTCCCGCCTAAACAGTCAGAAAATGACAAATTTGATCAGAAAAAAATTTTCATACGTCCAAGACCTAGAGCTTCCACTGGAGAGGGTGGTGAATCTGCACTTAAACATAATCCTCTGAGAACTGTGGAAGAGAGAAAGGAAGAATATGATAGGGCGCGCGCACGTATATTTAGCAGTCCTAATAATTCTGTCTCTGAGGAGTCATTAGCTCGGGCTGCTTCAGATGGAAAGGACACCGTAGGTGAGAATGAATGCTTGAAGAGCTCCATAGTGGATTTGGATAAAAAGGTCAGCATCAGGGAAAATGGAAGTTCTTCCAGGGTTGCAATTTTAAGGGACAGGGAGAAGGATCTTATTGACCCTGATTATGACCGAAGTTATGGAAGGTACACTTGTACTTCAGCACTTTAGTTGTTTCATGAATAACCATGCAATCTTTATATTCTGTATATGTTCTAGTGACACAACATGTCTAGTCCTATCTGTACTGAAATATTTTCAAAGTTGCTAATACTTGTCTAATTTTTTTTATCCGTCATGTTATTTATTTGATGCAGCTAATTGGGCATAGATTTGATCGTGCTTGAATTTAACTGCCTTTCGTATTGCTAATCCAAGCAATTTTTCTTTCAAATAATGCAGATATGCCAATAAGAATGTACCAACCAATCAAAGCATCAACATGACACCTTTTAATATTCAAAACTTCCAGCCATATGTGCAATACGATTCTTCTTTTCCTCAGCTGTGTCAGATGCCCCGGACTCAAGCTTCCCTGAACTACACAAACCCAGTTCTGAGCCCCTATTATGCAACAGGGTTGCATCCTACTTCTACTGATGCTGTTTACATGCAGTGGCCTACCCAGTCCATGATGTATGCTCATTCATATGAGGAACTTCGACATGGTGTTTTCCAGGTAATTTTGAGTTCCATATTTGCTAACTTGATCCTATCTGCTCTGTATAGACCATTAACTTTACTTGAACCATTAATTTGTATCAGTCTAATTGAAGATAAAGATCATATATTTTTGCTTATGAAGTTACCTTAACCATAAAGTTGTGTCTATGTATGTGTCTATATGTATACCATTTATGTCTATAAACATGTACAAGGACACAACTGGATGTTTAAGAAGGCACATGCTTCTAATTTTGGAAGATGAAAGGATCAATTGTTTACTTTGTTTCCTCAGCTACATTTGTGATTATTATATCATTGAAGTCTTAGTAGTTTTTCCATGAAGGTGTTACTGTTTGTGAATATCACAATCACTCACAATTTTGAACTTGATATTAGATATCAGTATAACCTGTCCAGTATGTGGGCTTCTAGCTACAGATGTTATAATTCTAGGGTTGAAGTGTCGAATAGTTTTTCACACTCCAGAATCATTAATGTTTAGTATTAAATGTAATGTAGTGTCTTTTAGCAGAACTTTAGTTTTCCCTGTTCTTATTAATGTTATTTACTAGTATGCTGGAGGATTGCAATTTCCAAAAGATAGTTGTGGCACTTCCATTAAATATCTTAAACCTTTTTTAATGCATAAAGAGAATGAAAATGAACAGTACTTGTTTGTGAAGATTTTGTTGTTTCCCTAACACTGCCTTCTAAATAGATACATCTCAGGGATCCCTAATTTACATGCATATGGTATGTGAATGATTGTGTTAAACCACTATTTCTATGGGAATAGAATATGGTTGTGTCTGTGTATAACTGTATACATTACATTACAGCCTCCCTTTTTTACAAAGGACAACAAGGGAAAAGAACCTCTATGTTGCTGCCGTTCTCTACTTTGTGTCTGTTTTAACTTTTAAGGAATCTAATGTCTTTGGTTTCCTATTTGTTATCCCACTCGGTAGCATGTTAACTAATTTGATTTCCCTTTATTTTGACACAGGTCCCATTCTCTCAGCAACCCCTCAGTTTTGATTACTCACAAAACCATTGCTGATGGGTAGAATTTGATGGAAAATATCTAGTGAAAGCAGGTTTTCCCTCCTTTATAGTGTTATCCTAATTTAGGCTAATTGTTTAAGACCTATGAACTTGGTGTTATAGTATCTTTTGTTTTCATTTTTCGAAATTATCGCAAGGAGGTGATCACTGTAGCACAGAGTACTTGCTATTATTATTTGTAGTGGAACTTCCCGCATGCCTCTACATACACTCGCTAGATCACCCCTGTCCCGCTTTCTATATTGATAATTCTTTCCGCTGCCTCCAAAACTCTGTAATCTATGTAGTTCCGTCCTAACTAGCAAGGTCTTAACTCGGTTTACAGACCTGGTCTATCGAGTTGCTTAGTTCATTTTGGGTATGGGGAAATAATGATTTGGTGCCTTCACTTTTCATCACAAAGGTGGTGATTGTGTTGAGAATCACCAAATCATGTGGTGCTCAAGGCTCCTTTTGGATTTCGCACTTTCTCCCTGGCTGGGAAACTAGGCACATGGGTCATGAAGTGATGATTAGTTGTCCATCACAACCCCAATAATGCACCGAGTTATTCATTGCCAGCTTGTGATGCCTGATTATTTGTTATTGTTATTATTATAATTATTATTTTACTTTCTGTCAAGCAGAATCTGAAGTGTTACTTATCCATTGCTTGGATTTACTATTCAACTTTTTCCCTCTTTTGTATGTATGTAGTATGTGAGATTGGGGAGAGAGCTTTGGTCTGTCTCTTTCATATCTCCTTTTCTCCCACTTCTTTAATAGGCTGTCATCTACCCAGATTTTTTTGTGTCTTTTTTAGTCTACAAATGCTAGTGTTTTGTTCATCATTTAACTGTAGAATTTTCTGTGTGGTCTAACACTAACTTGGGTTCTAGATTAGTCTGAGTCTAGTGTAACTATCAAGTTCCAAGATATTTTTTTACTTGAATACCCCCATCCCATACTAACTTGTGGTTCAAGTAGTAGGGGTTTGATTCTCTTTTAAGTATAGGTTTTGCGTTTAAACCTTTTGATTTATGAGAAAGTCCACAGTCTCATTCCGCTTTAGGTGAAACCTGACTTGATGGTAAAAGATAAAAAGGAAGTAAACTAGTTTAGGGTATCTATAGTTGACTGATTCAAATCAAGAAGACCAATAGATAGCCTGCTCGACTAACTTGGCTAGAGGTCTTTATGAATAGAGCAAGTGGTGGAGTGTTTTCCATATTAGGTTTGATTGAAACTCGAGTATAAACTTTATGAATAGAGTAATTGATATTGGAGAGCTCCCTATATTGGATTGGACTGAAACTTGAGTATATAATAAGTATGGTATGAGATACTCTTACCATGTTATAGGGTGGAATCCCCCATAGGAGACAGTGGGGGATATGTGCAAAGTGAATGGGGATTGGGATGTTCACACCCTAATTATTAATGGCATGAAATCATGAGATTAGGTGGATATGATCTGATAATGAAGTGTGGAACAATGAACATGGACTGATTTGGAAATCCACTTGTATATTTTAAGAGGCCTAATCACACTGTAACAGATCACATGTACATAAACTCCTTTGGATAATTATAATATCAAATCAAGCCAGTCAGTCTTGTAGGTGGGTGGCACTGTCTTTAACTAATCCCCACCCCCTCTAATCTCTTATCTTCACATCTTCAAGAAATGTGTAAATACTAAATAATTAGGGTTGATGGTGTTGAACATATAATATATAATAAATGTTGTTGGCTAAGTTGAAGCGAATCATATCATTCAATCAAATTTTTTTTTTTTTTTTTTTTTAACATATCATTCAATTTGGTACCAAAGCACATGTGAATATGTGTATTTAGTTGAGACATGAAAGGTCGGGTAATAATTGACCACTCACATGAGGGGTGTGTATGTGCAGTCCAATTACCGATTTAGTCTTTTAATTGAGAAAAAACACATTCTTTTGGGGGCGATTTTAAGCAAATTGGTTAGATAGTTGGTTTGTTAAGTACTTGGTTTAAAGTTTTACTCTCCATGAGAACTGTTTGTTGACCTTCTTGATTTGAGCCGGTGATCTTTAACCTGCTAAGGTTACAAAGCGTGCTTCATTCAGAGTGTATACTTAGACAATAGTGATTTCTTATAGGTTAGTATCACAAAACGCACTTTACCTACAGGGCATAAGATGATGCAAGATTGTGTGAAAGCAGCATTTTTTTAAACTTAAATACTCCACTTTAATTAAGAATAAATAATTTCTTTGTTCTTTGTTAATATGGAGTATTCAATTTCGAAGTCGTTATCAGACATGTTGGGATGAAAACATATTGTTGTACTTTTCACAAAATAAAAAATATTCCAAACCGTCAGGCGCAATTTCTATGGTGGAGATTGGTGTGATTGAATCAAGGAATCCCAGGCGTAAAATATTGACTTTGTTCAATGACTTTTTGTGAGTGACTTCTATCTTCTGCATTCTCAATCTCTTCACAACACATCACCCATTGGCCATTGCTGCAACCTATGGAAGAAAACATTATAAAACACACAAAAATCTTAATAAATGGGATTCGCCCTAAAAATCTATGTTAAAGATGTGTTTTGTCTGAACTAAAATTTTCAAGATTTGCTGTGAAAGTTCAGATCAAGGATGTATTTTGTCTCAACTATAAGTTTATCTTTCGTTTGTTTTGATATTAGACTGAATTATGTGTTCCGTTTTAACTAAAAGTTTAAGCTGATGGAGAGATACGGTGGTATGCAGATCTAAAGGGGTCTCAATTGAATGATGTGTTTTGCTTAAGTTAAAAATTTATTATTACCTTTTGCCTAGTATAGTACTAAATTGAACGAGGTGTTTTGTCTCAACTAAATTAACGTGTATCTGAACACCGAACAGAAACACGGTGACATGCGTAAAAAGAGGAAGATTAGAAAGTAATAACAAGGGAAGTTTATTCAACAAAACTTGATTAAGCAACAAGAAGATGAACACAACATAGATTTGCAGATGACAGTTGAGTAAACTTTATGATTATACTTAGTATATGGAGGAGAAATGAGATGATCACTCACAGGGCTGACCACTATTGAGCAAAAAGAACAGCCAGAAATTATACATCATTCTAAGACATTAAACCATACTAACATTCTGCACTTGTTATTGCTCTTCCTCAAAGATTCTCCAATCAACACTTCTATCCGCTATGAAACCACACAATTTACAAGCAGCAGGACAACGAAACTAAGAACCCCGAGAGAATCCATACAGTTCCTACGCAGGAGATTCCTTAAAATAGCCAAGGAACTCTGTCGTTGCATCTTTGCTCTCCATAACCATTGGCATTGTTGCTTCGGCAAAGAATGTGTGTCTACGAGGATCATAACACACCCCACACAGGAAATACTCGAGATTTTTCGAGTAGAGTCAAACACTTGTGCTTTCCATAAACTAGAAACAAGAAGAACAAAAAAAAGGTTCAAAGGAACCACATTGATCCATAGACTAGACAACATTATGAGTGGGGCTGATTAGGACATTATTGCATGTGACATCAAGGCCAAAATCACTAGTAGCCAACAGATAAAAAAGAAGCTGACACAGAAAGCACAAGAGTGGCCAGAACATAATTACACTTCTAGATTTTCTTTTTCTTCCCAAATTTAGTTTCCAGATCCTAGTCCTTACAGGCAAAAAACACAGAAGAAGCAACAATGAATTCGATTCGATCAGGGAGGGATTCACAATTCCCGGAGGACACAAAAGTACTAAAGACTGTTACACCACCACCACCAGCACAAGAACTAAAGAATCTAAATCCTTAACCACCGGGGGCGAAATTGCATAAGTTTTGACATTCCATAACCATCGGGGGGGCGGGGGGCATAAGGATAGCGGGGGTTACCCTGAATCGAATTCTCAATCGCCCCCGGTGGGGAATAGAGTAAGGACCTTCCTCCCATTAGCTGATTCCACATCTTCCACATATGATGGCACCAAAGAATTGGCATTATTATTATTATGTACTGGTGCCCCTATCCTCTGAACCTGTTGCTGGGATTGCCTGGATAGGAATGTATGCTCGAATTGCCCGTTCGGGGGTGACCCGAAATGCCTGTACTGTTGCTGGAGCTGAGGGTGGTGCCCCACCATCTGGTGGTGGTGTTGCATTGCAGCAGCCACCGGGACAAACGGCAGGAAATGGTCGGAGTTTGACCTCACGGGGTGCAGGAAATGTGGCGGCACCGGTGAACTAGCGAACAAATGGTCGGTTGCAGCGTCCACCCCTGCCCCAGCGGAGTTGTTTCCCCCGCCGCCGCCCCCTCCGCCATTAGAGAGACCTTGCATACGCTTCAGATAGAGCCTGTATTTCTGCAAATGGCTCGCCACGTTCTCGCGCGTCAGGCCGTCCACGCTCATCAGCTGCATTATGGTCTTGGGCACCGCATTCTTGATCCCCAGGTGCGCCACCGCGTCCACGAATCTCTTGTGGAGCTGCGGGGTCCACACGAGGCGGGGCCGCTTCAGGGTCCGGGCGGGCTCGTCGCCGCCGCCGGAGGCGGCGGCGGCGCCGCCCAAGTCGGCGGAGTCAAATTCGGCGGAGGAGTTGGGCTGGGAGGACGGCGGCGTCTGAACCGCCATCAACGGCGGCTGTATGGGCGGGTGGTGAGGGCTACTGGGATTCTGAATATCAAACGCCAGAGCTAGATCAGGAGTAATTAGGGTTTGAGATAAGGGCATAAGCTCATCCGGAGGAGGAAGCTCCTCTTCCCATTTCGCAAACCAATTGGAGTCCTCCTCCCTCATTTCTCCACCGCCGCCAAAATCCCGGTTATGAAGAAACCCACCCGCCGGAATTCCAAGATTCGAACTTTTTAACCGGCAAAGCTCAAACTCAAACTCAAACCCAGAGAGAGGGAGGGGGTAAACACTGAAAAGAAGTGCAGAGAATCAGAAAAAAAAGATGAAATCTTTATAGATGGGTATCATTTATCCTCAATCTCCCTTTCAGAAAGCACCTGATTTTTGGATAGAGGAACACAATGAATGAATGAATAGGTGGGGGTGGGGGTGAAGGTGGAGGGGGGTTCGAGGTGGATCTTGTTTTCTTCTTTACTTACAGCTTTTTATTATGGTTAGTATTGGCGATGGATGCATTTCTTTATGATTTTTATGGCAATGGGAATTTCTTTTTTTGTTTTGTGTTTTTTTTTTTAATGTGTTGATTTTGGGCATAAACAGTGGAGAGTGGAGTGCAGTGCCCGTGGCGGCTTGGGTCCGGTAGGGTTTATGTTTTTTCCGGGATTTGAGGGAGCTGAGAGGAGCCCTCTTTATGCTACTTTGCTTGAGATGACTCGTGAGAGTGAGTGCCACCCACCATTTTCATTCTTTTTTTTTTTTTTCCTCTTATTTTACATCTATATTTGGTAAGGGAAAATACTGTGTACTTTCAACTTTTACTTTCATCTACAAAATTTTGATATAGATACTTATAGTAAGACCTACATAAAAAAAAAAAAAAACACTTATCAAAGCTCGCCATATAAGATAGTAAGATTTGAGAGTACATGTAGTATAATTCTTTGATAAATTCTTCAATTTTACTACATTTTAAAATTCATCTACCAAACAAAAAAAAAAAAAAAATCAATTTTGGCATATAATAAGCAGATTATTAGTACAACTGCAAGTTAAAGGTACAGAATTTTTGAGAGGCAAATTATTTTCTTGACTATAGTCCACGCAATGATGTATAGATCACAACCTATCCTCCCAAATGCTCTGTCGGCCGGGATGTGGGGGCCCTTAGGATTGGGGTTTAACCTTTTGGAAGAATGTATAGATCATAACAAAAAGTATATTTTTAATATTTAAAAGTACATTATTTGTGTTCTGAATGTACATTATACAAATTGATGTACTTTCAGTACTCAAATAATGTATTTTTTCTGAATATAATGTACATTTTTAATATATTAAAAGTACATTATTTGTATACTGAATATACATTATTTGATAGTATGATTCACACAATAATGATTGTTTAAAAAGTTCTGGGCTCTTTTTTTTTTTTTTTTTTTGAAGTGTCAAGGAATCAATTCATGAACACCTAAAGAATAAAAGTTACATCGCGAGAGAAGTAAGGACTAAATGCGGGAGTATATAAATCTTATTCATTGACATTAAATTAATTAATCAAAAGATTAAATTATGAATACTTTAAATAAACTATAATTAATTAAGTCATACAAATAAAAATAGTATTTAAAAAAAAAAACACTTCACAATCTTACATATATCTTGAAATTATTTTTAAAGTAACGTATAAGAGCGAAATTTATCCAATACACATTTTCAGATAGTAATTGTAAATTTCTCATAATCCAAAAAAAAAAAAAAAAAAAAAAAAAAACTTAAAATTTTATCACATTTCTTATCAATGGGTGGGGGGTTGTGGTTTTAAGGTGGAATACAAATGAAGACATCAAGTCAATGTCTAGTAGTGTTTTGTTGTGGGTTCCACAAAGGATGTGTGGACTATCTTTATTCTTAGCTTTCAACTTCTACATTTTCCATTAAGCCTTTATTATTGTCTTTTTCTTCATTTTACAACCTAAATTAGCTATGATTTTTTATTTTTTAAGGTTTAGTCTATATCCTATGTTTAGTTCATTTTAAGATAAAACCTATCTTCACCTGTCACTTGAACTATGCCTTATTTTCGTAAAGATAGAATTAATTAGGAAAATTTTATGATGTGAAATATTATCATATCATATTTTACTATTATAAATAGAAAAAGTGGTAGCGTTTCTTAAAATGTTAGAGTTATAATATGTTGATAGATCAAAATATTAATAACTGATTTATTAGGCAATGTTCCTTTGTGTAATTTTACCAAACTATAATCAATAACACGGTACCTTTTAATATTTTAGAAATTCTCAAATTAATTAATATCTCATATTTGAATTTTGTAACTAGAGAACATGTATTGAGAGAATTATTTTTATTTATAGACAAAAAATAATGCGATTTTATTAAATATAATATCGAATATCGAGAATTTTTTTTTTTTTTACCGAATCTCTTTAAAAGGAAAGAAAAGAAAAAAAAGGTAGTTCTGAATTGGGGTTAATAATGATGATTCCATTTGTTAAAAGGATGTTTAAAGAAGAAAAAACAAATTTGTGATGTTAAGTTGCTTTATTATCTGTTTAACCACTTAATCTTGAAAAAACATGGGAAAGTGGGAAACCCATAGTATGTTGTAATGTTGACAAATGACAAATGTGGGCAAGCAGTGAATAAATTTGCCACTGTTAGTGTTGATAAAAAAAAAAAAAAAACATTGGGTCCACGCGAGCTAAGCTCACTGCTTCGGTAGGTAGTATTTGGGAGAAGAGATCAAGGTTCGAATCTCGGCAACGACAGTGTGGAGACATTTGGCCTTGAGCGCTATTGAATCACCGTAATTTACATCATCCTAAATACTCTGTCAGACTGGAGTGTGAAGGCTCTTGGGATAGAGTATTCAACCTTTTGGGAAAAGAAGGTAACAAAGTAGCAATGATATAATTGGCAAGTTCATACATGCGTAATTGAATGTCAAATTCGTTTATTTAAAAGGGTAATTCAAAGTATATTAATACAAAATAATATAGGAGATTCATTATAAATGTCACTAAAATAAATATTTAAAACTTTATAAAACTGATAGTCTAAATACTTAATCTAAAAATGATAATCTAAATAAATATTACTTTTAGTTTAAATTTCTCTAAGATTTTTTAGTTCTCTTTTTGAGTAGCATTATATTGTCATTGCCTTCTTAATTCTCTTTTCGTCGAATTAGTATTTGTCTCTCTTAATGCATTGATACTCATTGCTAACCATTTAGGCATATATGTAACAGTCAGTGAACAACCATTTTATATTGTTTTAAATATGTCTCGAGCTTGTTCATCACCATAAAGTGGGAAAAAGAACACAAAGGGACCATAATGAACAAAAAAGGATGAAGGGGAAAGGAGAAAATCACACCAACATTTAATACTTTCCGGAAAATACTACATGTATTCCGATCTCAACTTCTGCTCCCTATTTTCAAATCTTTGATGTAGACACATTTTCATGGGACCCACAGAATGAAGATACCTTATCCATGCTGGCCGCATCAGAAAGTAGAATTTGAGAGTCCGCATAGTAGAATTTATACTTCTCTGTACCAATTCCAAAACCAACATTGCCCCAGTATAAGATCAACCATTATTCTCATTGTAGAGCACATACTTCTTGCCATCTATGAATAAAGAAATCATTAATGAGAGAGAGAGAGAGAGAGCATATGGCATACTACAAACATAACCAGGAGAGTACAGGAGATGATCAAAACGTACCACAACTGTTTAGCTCCATCCTCCTTTTATCTAACACGATGCTCGTATCTGGAATTCGTACTAGAATGAAAAGAATGGAGAAGTGTTAAGAAGTTCAGGGAAGGGAAGGGAGGAAAAAGAGAAACAATGAAGTAAAAGAATCGATATCATGTTTGTTATTGGAGAAGCTAGATACCTTGGCTTTCATGGTGCATATTGTTGCAGGGCAACATTAATGTCCAGATTATTGATGATTTTCCGATTTATCATGAGCTGATTAAGGCTCGGAGTGTAGAGTGACCCATGAGTGAAGGCTTTCATTTTAGGACAATCGTCAATCTCCAAATCCTTTAACAATGGCAACTCTAAATCACGCTCCACTTGCCAAAAGACCCGGAGCTCAGGTAGGTGTGCTATTTTCAGCTTCTCCAACTTGGGAAGCAGTGTTGTGCTGTCTCGTTTCTGTTGTCGTCTCTCATTTGAAATTACTTCTTCCATTTGCAGGCAGTCACCGATTTCCATTTCCTTGAGATTGGCGAAGGCCTTAGCAACTGAGGGAGAAAATAGCCTCGTCAGATTGTTGCACGACTCTATCCTCAAACTTTCAAGTTCAATAAAAGAGCAGCCTCCTATATCTGTCACTCTATCCAATCCTTTTAGTATGATTCTCTTTAGGCAATCAAATTTGACCTGCAAAAATAAATAACACGCGGGATTGGCTAGACGAAGATAAAAAGGAAATTAAGAATGAAGTAAATAACAGTACTTCTGAATACCTGTTGGTTAAAGAGAGAATGGCCTTCCAAATCATCTGAGCTCTCTGAATCGCAGAAACTCTTAAATTTTGGTGTGTTTGTAATCTCCAAGTATCTTAATTGCGGGAACTCAATATCTTCAACGCCCTGGCAAAAACTAGTAAGGTTTGGTAACTTTTGAAGTTTCAAATGGTTTAGTTTGGGGAACGTGACCTTCTGTGCCGCATGCCCACTTTCTCTTCCATTTGAAAAGACTTCTTGCATAGATTCACAATCGTATATATCAAGATCTCTCAGTTTCACCAAACCTCTAGTCATTGGGAGTGAAAGAAGATTCTGTAATTGAGGGCATGCATCTATTAAAATGCCTTGGAGATTTCGAAGCATAACTCTTTGAGTTGGTTCCTCCAATAAAGTGATCAATTTGGGAAGTGCAATGACTTCGAGGTGACTAAGCCTCTCCATGGAACCTGCTGGAAATGGACCATTGCATATCTTCTTGAAGTTGATGAGATTCAAGAGACAGAGAGACTCTAGGATTGGGAAAACAGAACTTTCCAGTGGCACCATAGTTGTGTTCGCCAGGAATTCCACTTTACTACAGTTTTGAAGTATAAGTTTCTTCACATAACAAAAGTTCTTTGGCACCAATTCATCTATCGCAATCTTTGATCCAATGTCATCTAAGTAAAGATCCTGGGCAGTTCTTAGCAAGACACGAACCCAATTGCCCAATGGAGCCAAGAGGGGAAGAGACAGATACATAGCTTTCTGCAAGTGGCCTTCCCGTAGGTAATATGAAGAGCTAAACACAAAGTATTTCTTTGGAAAGGAGCGAAAGGATATGTTTGTGTGTAGAAGGCTTGGTTCAAGTATCTGAATCTCCAAAGCTGTTAAATTTGGTAAGGTACCTAGCTCATGGAGAGTTGCATTCGACCCCTCACGTCCTCCAGCACCTTCCCATCTGCAATTATTATTTATCATGTACACTTCTTCCAGACGGGTTAGGTTAGCGATTATCCCCGGGGCAACTATCTGGATGCAAGTGTCCCCCAAATTTAGGACCCTCAGATTAACCAGTCTTCCTATTTCAACAGGCAGTACTCTAGCACGACAGAAGCAAATGAGTATTTCAAGATTTACAAGCTTGCCTATGATGGAAATTTCCTCAACATGATGATTGTCCAAATACAATACTCGAAGGTTTCTCAAACCCCCAAGTGATGGCGGCAATGAATGAAAATAGCTCCCGGGCATATCCAGCACTACAAGTCCTGGCATCCCATAAAAAAATTTCTTAGGTATTTCCAATCTTTCATTGCCGCATTCTAACCTTAAGACATCAAGGTTGGGACATATCAAGGTTTCCGGAAGCATAGTCAATGCATTTGAAACAATTGAAATGCAAGCGAGATTCTCATAAGAAATTTCTTTGGGCAACTCAACATCATTAGTCATGATAAGAACAGTGTCTTCCTTGTTGGCAATATATATAGCTACATCTCGAAGAACATGATGCATTTTGACATATTTATCATACTGAACTAGTGAACACTTTCTCCGGCCTTCAGCTGCATCATCTAACAAGAACCGATCCTCAAGTATCTCAACCAATCTATATACCCTAGTTCTCGCTTCTTCCAAACTTGTGATGTTTTCAAATACCCTTAGCCCGACACCGTACCAAATCAAGAATTCCAATGGAATACAATAATCTTCTGGAAATAAAGAACAAAGTAGAAAGAGAGACTTGGCCTCATTGCTTTCCAAAAGTTGGTAACTTAACTCGAGCGGTTGATACACTTCCTTCAACACTTCTGGAATATTAATTGGCGCAGCTCTTCTCAATTGTGTACGGGCATCCTCCCAAGAATGCTGACTTTTGTCTCTCAGTGCCCTTCCAACAGTTGTGAGCGCAAGTGGTAGATGACTGCATTCCCTTGAAACATCTCTTGCTATAGGATGTAAATCGGGATCACTCACACAACTCCCAGCTCTTTCTTTGAAAAGACTCCAACCTTCATCTTGCTGTAAAATTTCAATCACCACAATCTTCTGAGCGTCCATTTGAGCACATGTGTCTCGGTGTCGAGAAGTTAGTATGACTTTACACTTTTCTGCAAGTGCAAAAGCAATGCCTAGTTCCTCCAAATCTAGTCTTGCCCAAATATCATCTAGAACTATGAGAGTCCTTTTTAAAGCCAGTCTCCTCTGAAGCTTATTCGCTCGAAGTGTTGGGTTCTCTTCTTTTAATTGGAGGCCTAATCCTTCTGCAATTTCTTGTTGAATTTTTTTGGGGTCTGGTGTTAGACTAGCAGCTACCAATACAAACTCATCAAACATCATCTCTTCCGTCATTCTTTTTCCTACCTTTCTGGCCATCATTGTCTTTCCTACTCCCCCCATACCACAAATCCCAATCAAGTTAATGTCACCATCCATGAGTGCTTCAACTATTTCCTCTTCATTAGACTTTCTAGATTCAAACTCTATGTATTGTCTATGCCCAATAAATTCAACCTGCAAAGGAGGTGCAGGAACGGAAAAACTCGAGTATTTGGAACCTTCCACTATGAGTTCAACCGCAACCTTCGCCCCTTTCTTGGCTTTCTTACTCAATGTATAACGCAACTTAAGATTTGGGCAATAGCCGTTAAAACAGCCTTTTTCAACCTCAGCTTTCTTTTCCAAAATGCTCTCTTCCTTGGCAGTAATTTTCTCTATTTCATCTAGCCATCCCTTAACATCGGGTGCAATAGACTGCAGGTTTCTCTCCTCCACCTCAATTCTCTCTTTCACCCCATCTCTCATATCCTTTACCCGCTCCACTTTCATTGTGAAACTTTCCATATTGCTTTTGTACTGAAACACATATCCAATCTCATCCAAAACTGGTTTTACAAGTCTTTCAAGAATCGGTGCCACTAGGGCAGATAAAAATTCCATCCTCCCAAATCCGTTTGGTCTCTACAAAAGTAGTTCTTTTCTCTCCTAACAAATAAAAAGAAACTATTACACCTACTTGACCAACATGTTATATATCCAAATTAGATTTAAAGCTTCATCCTAAATGCATCTAATACTTTCAATCTAAAGTTCGGAATGCACAATCTCTTCAATTCAACACCAACAAGAACACATTTTCAATAGACTTGCTAACAATATAGCATCAAATCAAGTGAGGGCATTAATCGGGGGCCAACCTAGCCAAGTTGGTCATATTGTTTGCTTGGTAACCACAAGGTTCCAAGTTTGACTCCCGGTGGGAGCGGCCTATTGGCCTTCTTAGTTTGAACAGTTCAACTATGTCCAACCTAGACTGATTTATCTCATTGGGTCACAAGGCGCTGTTTGAGCACGCTCGGATAGTGGGGGCATTAACCTTGGAACTAGAAGAGCAACTTTTACTCCACTACACACAATTATTCTCTTTTGCTCTAGTGGCACAATATATCAAACAGTTTAAATACATGAAAATAAAGCAAAGATAGAAATGCGGTACCTTTTCAGCTTCCAACCCAGCAGTTGTAAACTGAAGAAATGTGACAAGAACTAGAAAAGATGAGATTGGAATAAGCTATGGAAGTGGCAGTGTAGGCTTGAAGTGATGAGCTGCAGAATGGGAAATTTGTGTTGGATAGCATATAGGTGTTACAATCATGGCTAGGTATATATATGAGAGGAGAAGAATATAATGCTTTTCTCAAAGTACAAGACTCCATCGCCATTGTTCTCCCCCTATGAGAAAGTGATTCTGAGAGGAGACAAATAGGATCAAGCAAACACTTTAATTACTTCACAAAATGCACAAGATTTCTCTTGGCTCTGGGTGTTATTGGGTACGTTCACCTTACTGTTACATCAAGAATATAGTCCCTTTCCCTTTAGGGAAGTTTCAAGCAAAATAAAAAAGGTAAAGAAGAAGTAGATATGCAGTCATGCAGAGAGAGGTGGGGAAGACCTGTTCCACCAAAATCTTTTTTGATAAGGTTCAAATTGGCTACTCAACGCTGATAATGCAATTAAGTCATTGAACGAAAAAAAAAGTGCAATTAAGTCACTGAATACTCCAAAAATGTACAATTAGGTCACTGAACACTCCAAATGTATATAATTTCACCGGATAGCAGGTTACCATCAATTTTAGCAGATTACCTGCTTATGTGGCAGCTGAAGTGACATTTTTAATAATTTTTAAATAATTTTTAATAATAAATTTAAAAAAATTAATTTAAAAAACCGTTGTTTTTTTAAATTACATTTTTTAGAAAAATTTATTATTAAAATTTATTAAAAATTATTTAAAAGTTATTAAAAATGCCAACTCATCTGCCACGTAAGTAAGTAAACTGCTAAAGTTGAGGGTAACCTGCTATTAAGTGAAATTGTATACATAGAGGGTTCAGTAGCCTAATTATACTTTTTTTCGTTCTGTGGCCTAATTACATTTTCAGGTTACGTTCGGTTGCTAATTTGGACCTTATTCCTTTCATTAATACTCTGCTACATTTATTTAATTTTACTCCTACAAACATCATGATTCATTTACTTTTTTTTTTTTTTTTTCCATTTTTCTGCTAGACTATATTTTTTTCCTTTTTTTTTTTTTTTTTTGACATGTTACTAGTTCCACCTTAGTTTCTGCCTCATACGTAGCTTGCACCTAGTTCCCGATTCCTGCTCCATTAGTTCCACTATGGTACTCTAGCTCGCACCTAATCCCTGGTTTCTAGCTCCACTGGTTCCACCTTGATTCCTGACTCATACCTAGCTCGCATCTAGCTAGTCCTCGATTCCTGACCGGACTATATTTTAAACTCATAAATAACCTATCATAAAATTCATGTAAGAGATAAATCTCGAGTTGCTTAAATGATTTCAGGTTTTTCGCCACATGTACACTTATATGTGCAAGAGATCTAATTGATCAATGTCTCTCATAATTAAATATTGATTGATCAACGAGGTACTTAGTTAAGCCGCAACATCATAATTCATGACAAGTGAGGATTATAAGTACAGTCTTATAAAAATATAATTTAAAAAAAAACAATATGTTGGTTAGTATGCTATTTTTCCTCTTGACTTTACCTCCAGACTTATTAATAATTTCTATTTATTTATTTATTTGCTACGTTGAATTGACTAACCACACTCAACATGATATATATCTACTTTTAAATCAAACATAAAATAAATCAATCAAATGTTTCCACATAAAGATCGTTTAATAATAATTGTCCGTATATAGTTGAACGACTCAAACCAATAAAGTCAATAGATCATCTCCAGAAGTTATATTAAATCACTGATAATTTACTCTTTACAATACATAAGTACATAACACCGACATAATTTATAACCCTTAAACATTTTTATTTTTTTGTTAATTGTATGTAATTTGATTGATTTAAGCACATCACGAATGAGCGTTGGGTCGGAATGCCAAACTTTTATGATTGAAGATTCAACCTTTAGGGAAGACCGAATGAGCGTTGGGACAGGAAAGGACCTAAACGGGAAACATTGGAGTATTGGTAACCTTCCCCGAGTAGTTCAACAGCATCTTGTGAACCCTTCTTGGCTTTCTTACTCAAAGAATAACGCAGCTTAAGATTTGGGCAAAAACCTTTGAGACAACCTTTTTCAACATCGGATTTCTTGGCCAAAATCGTGTGTTCTTTGGCAGTGATTTTGTCTGTTTCATGTAGCCATGCCTTTACTCTGGGTGCAACAATCTGCAGCTTTCTCTCCTCTTCCTCAACTCTTTCTTTCACCTCATCTCTCATAACCTTTATCTTCTCCACTTTCTTCCTGAAATTCTCAATGTTGCTTCTGTACTCAAACACGTATCCAATCTCTTCCAAAACTGGGTTTACTATTCTGTCAAGAACTGGCTTCAGTAGGGCAGATACAAATTCCATCTTCCCAATTCTTCTTATCTCTACAAATGAAAACAATTCAACCAAATTAGATAAAAGCCATGCAATATATATATATATATATATATATATATATATATATATATATATATATATATATATATATTGGGATGAGCATTAGGTTAATTATGTCTTGTCATCTTAGTCGATCGGCAGCAAAGTACCACAAGAGTAAATCAGTCTAAGTTGTCTATATGGAATGATGTAAATTATGGTGACTCAATGTATTAGTAAACAAAGTCAAATGCAGGTGTGCACAAGGGATCTGTCTATTTTGAGCATATTTAATATGCCACCAAAGTTTGAATCTTGATCTCTTCTCTCAAATACAGCATACTGAATCATTGAACTAAGCTCGTGCGAGCATCATAATTCTGTCTCTTTTTGTGTTATATGGTTGCATATAGCAAGCAATTAAAATACATCACAGTAAGACAAACAGAGATATATAAAAATATGGTACCTTTTTAGCTTCCAACCCAGCAGATCAGAGCAGTTGTGAAGTGTGAACTGAAGAAATGTAAAATAAGCTAAGAAACAGCAGTAAAAAGGGGCATATTATATTGGCAGTAGTTTTGAAGAGATGAGGTGCAGATTAGAATGGGGAATTTGTATTTGACAGTGTAAGAGTGTTACAATAATCATGGCCATATTTAACAAGGACAAGAATATAATGCTTTGCTCTGAGTACAAGTCTTCATCACCATCAATGTTGTTCTTCCCTTATCACAATGTGATTCTAAGAGGATCGGAGATAAATAGTTAAGATGAAGCAAACGCTATATATGTGTGGACAATAGGCGTTACTGGACCCCCCTAATTCTAAGAGGAGATAAATAGTTAAGATGAAGCAAACACTATATATGTGTGGGTACTAGGTGTTACTGGGCCCCCTTATCTTATTATTTGATTATTGTCAATATTCACTTGGTCGAGTTCGTTATACAAAGTATTCATAGTGTGATGTATCTCATTTATGTGATCTGCAATATTATTATATTGATATGAACTTTACACAATACGCACTCTCATGTAATAGTTAGAGAACGAAATTTTAAATTTTCAGAGTTTTTAAATTATTTTTATTGGTTATGTTAAGCTAATATATATAATATATTAATCTAAAACAAATATCATATGGACCCACCTTTATGGCCCCCGGAAGAAAGCTTGCACTAAATCAACTTCAACATGGAAAATGATAATTGTACTCATGTAATAATATTTTTGTCGAGTTGTAATTGACTTTCTTGATTTAATTTGAGTTGGTTAATTATAGACATAATAAATTAATTTATTTTCTTGTAACTTTTTGCTAACTAGAATCACAAAACGAACTCCATCCAAAACATGCATTTGAGTATTATTATTTGTGGATTTCTAATAAATAAGAGATTCATATTATTTGTTAAACAGATACTATACATGACACACGAATCCACAATATTACACTTAGGCCATAACATTTAGCAAAATATTATAAACTTCACAATACATTTTGATGGAATAAATTCTGAATGAATATGAATTATATTTCATAGGGAATAAATAGGTAAGGAATAAAATATGAATTTCATTCTATTATTTAGTTAATCAAATAAATAAACATCATGAAGTGTCAGTTGTTATATTATAGACCGCGGTGCATAATCGATTATGCACCGCGGCCCATATACGGCGCCGTTTCTTTAAGTAAAGAAACGGCCCGCCGTTAGAGTTAACGGAGTCCGTTTGTTTGGTGTATTAAACACTAACTGACACTACAGTATATCCAAACCGACACTGCAGTTATATCAAAATGATACTGTAGTTATAGTGAAATGAAACTGCAGTGTATATAAACTGAAACTGAATAACATTTCACATATTTGAGTGTATATTGTACAATGAAGCTGTAATTATATCAAAATGATCATGTAGTTGTGTTTTAATAAAACTATAGTGTATATAAAATAAAATTAAATAACATTTTCACATATTTGAGTCTATAAATATCGAATGAAACTATAGTTATATCAAAATGAAACTGTAGTTGTGTTCAACTGAAACTGCAGTGTATACAAAATGACACTGAATAACAGAGTTACTTTTTGTAAAAGAGTGCAAAACGGCGGAAATAAACACGGTTAATTTTCATTTAAAAAAAAGACGCGCGGTGCATAATCGATTATGCACCGCGGTGCATAATATAATTTGCCATGAAGTGTATTATATACAGTTGTTTGTTTGATTAAAGAATATAAATGCAATAAGTATTAAAAAGATAAAGTTACTATAACCACTAAAAAGTGAACCCTTAAACTAAACCATTAATACTATTTTAAGTGGAATGAACTTTCATTTTTGGTGCAATGATATCTTTTGATGCACTTTATACTATTGTTAGATGTACTTATACTGTGTTTGCTTTATGATGTCGTTACATGCACTTAAAGTTTGAGTTATTTATAAAATTTGACTTATAAAGAAAATTGTAATATTTATGAAAAATCCGACCCGTTTCACGAATGCAGACCCGTGAAACGGTCACATATGAGAAATTGCAATTAGAAAATTACATGTAAGGAAGGGAATATTGGAAGGGAAAATTTTGGAGGGGTGAGTAGACTTTGGTGTTGGAACAACTTCTGAATAATATGTGGGAATTTTTACTTTTAGATGTCTCAGGTGCTTTGGCACAAACAAATTAGAATGTAATGGTTGTTTTGAGTTATTGGGTTAACGTGTAATTTTAAATACTAATAATACATTTTGTTCACAGAATATGTCAGGAATAAGATTGTATTCTTTGTAATATATCTATTTGGTTGTTTGATTCTTAGGAATAAGTTGTTTTATTTATGATAATATTATTCCTAAGAATATGTCTATTGTGTTGTTTGGTAAGTTATTTTATTTACTAGTAATTCACCCGCGCGATGCACGGAAAAAAATTATGCTATTATAAATATAAATAAAAAATAAAAAAACTAAAATATTTTAAATTATTTAATATAATAATATTTTTAAGCTTCCATTGGTCAAGTATTTATTATTTTTATAGAATACAAAATTACAATTAAAATTAAAATTAAAATTTTGTATGGTTAATATAATCTCTAATTATGTGCATATTCAAATAAACTTATAGAGATAATTTACATAATTACATTGATTTATTCTTAATTGCATTTCATCTATATTATAATTTTCACAATACAAATAATAACTAAGATAATTACATTTGGAAAGCAAATTTCAAATTTTGTATGTGTAAATTTAAACTCTAATTGAACACATTTTTTATATGATTATATAATATATAGCTATTTTATTTTTCAAAAGTATATTTTTTATATGATTATATAATATATAGCTATTTTATTTTTTAAATGTTGTGTTTTTTTTTTTAATTTATAATAAAAGATGTTGTGACATTAATTATAACATTAATTATTTCCCAAACCATATAGCTTTATTATATAAAGGATGAGAATATTATTAATACGAATAATTATTTATAACGAATGACTAAATTAGGTATAAAATCAATAGTTAGAAAATCAAATAAGTAAATTTTAACGTCAAAGAATAAAATTAAGTAAGTGTACATAGTTAATAGTCCGAATAAGATATTAAGTTTTTTTTCTTTCTTTTTTGAAAACAATAAGATATTAAGTTAGTAACTCATAAAATATAAGTTTTTGAATTTCATTGTCTCAATATAACATGTTAAAAGGTTTCAGGTAAAATTTAAGGGTTTTTTTTTTGTTTTTTGTTTTTTTTTTTTTTGTTTTGGGGGAAAACAAGCAACTTTATTAAATTAAGGGGCTTATTTGATTATTTTTATAAGAATATATAATCCCTGGAAAACGAAAAAAAAATGAAAAGAAAAAAAAAATTTCAAAAAAGGCATCTTTCCGACTCTGACGCTATTATCGTATTCGTATTACAGATTACGTACTTTATTTAATTATTATTATTTTAAATAGAAATAAAGAGGAGAAATTGAAAGATAAGCATATGCATATTTCTTTCGATTCTTTCCAATTCCATTGAAATTTTCGGGGGGAATATGTATCATCACCCGCACTTCCCAAAGCCAATTCTGATTTCTGACTGAAATTTTATCCAAATTTGCCCGGAATGCCATTGATATATCAATAGATTATTTGTCCCTGGGTATTTTAATTCACTGGTATTTTCTCTGAATTTGTTGTGGGTTCATCCAAGATTCAGAACTGACGCTCTTTTCACTCCCCAGGGATTTATATCCGATCATCTGTATACGTAACTGATAATTTTCTCCCAACCATTTTGAGGTTTTAGTTTCAGGGTCAAACCTAATTCAGAACCAGAGGTTTCACTGCCGGAAACGTCGTTTACGATCCCCGGAAACGTAAGAATCGAATAGACATAGTTTGGATATCTGGGTGTTGTTCAAGACCGGTTTTTGTTTCTTGTTTTTTATCTGGGTAGGGTTTGGTTATTTTGGGATTTGGAGGAGAGGTGCTTGTCCTCCGATCATGGCCGACTGTGAGACTCTTGATCAATGGAGGGACTATTTCAGGAGTGCGAATTCCGATATATTCTTTATCATTGAGCATGCTATAATAGTGGCAGTCGCAGATTTTCCCAATGAGTTCAAATTGAGGAGAGATGGGATTGCTGAGATGCTGTTCACGTGTAAACGGGCCAAGTGCTTAGCGTGCAACAAGGATGAAGTGGTTTTACCGTTTGGTGATGGTGGTAATGCCCAGGGAAAGCGGGTGGGGCGTAATGGGGAATTGGAGGTGGATGGGAGCAAAGAGAGCAAGACAAAGAGTGGCGGAGATGATCATGTGGAGATGGAGATGGAGATGAATTTGAACCAGGTCAGTAATTGCAGCTATGGAGATGCTGAGGCATTGACTGATGAGATTGAGGAAGAGTCTCAGACTGTTGAGGAGGTGTTGAGGATCAAGAAGATTATCGATAACTATGAAGAAGAGGTTTATGTTTATGTTCATGTTCATTCACTTGTCTCTTGAATCTGTTAGACTTGACATTGTGTGGGTCATTATCTTTCTGCTTAATCCTGTTGGAATTCCTTTTGATGGAGTAATTAGTTGTTGAAGTCTCCTGGTGCTTGCCTAATAGCAGAGGGTTGGAAAGAAAAAATTTCCTGCTTTCAAGTGGAAACTAATCAGAGCTATAGATATCTCCTTGTGTTGACCAAATTGGATTTCTTATGTGGTTCTTGGTTACCTTGCACACATTTTTGTAATGTTGTGTTATTTACTTGGTTGATAATCAGTTCTTTCATGTCATCTGGTTTTTATTAGTGATGCTTTCTTCTTACAGTCTGATTCCATATTGTTTGATTCACTGAGGAGGCTTCAGTTGATGTCTTTGTCTGTGGAGAATCTGCAGGTTTGATCTTTTGCCGGTTACATTTACCACTTGTTTCCCTGTCAATTCTGCTTTGATTTTGTTGCTTATCTTACTTTATTATTAGCGGGACA